GGAAAAGCCCCATTGTTGAACCAGAAAAATTAGCCAGTCATAGAAGTAGAAATGCTAAATAAAAAAAGAGAGGGGAGCTCTTGCTGCGCTAAACATCCGCTGCACAACGGGTCGTATGAGTAACGTCAATTGAATTGACAGTTTAACAACAAATTACACAACATCCACGGGCGGGGGGCAGGGGGGGTTTGGGATGTACAGGGGCCAGACAATAGCTTAGAGGCCTCATTAAATGCTTAGAGTGGAAAACGTATGTGAGCTAATTATTTCTGATGCACTGAAAAAAAAAGGTTGTTGGCTCTCATTTTTTTTAAATTATTTGAATGCCTTTTTTGATACCAGAAAATACCGAATTTTCTAATTTCAAATTTTTGTATGACTGTTTTAATCTATTAATATTTATAGGCCATAAAAATAGTCTATTATAATATTAATAAAATATATGACAAATATTTAACTTTTTTTAATACCTAAAAATGCAAGAAGAATTTTTTAATTTCGAATTTTTGTATGGTTTAGTTAATCTATTATTATTATTTTTATAGGCTATACAAATTGTCAAATTTCTTTAAAAGAATTATAAATATTTTAATAATAATTTAAATAAATATTATGACTTTTTTCCAACGACTTATTGTTTTTCTAAAGCTAGCCCCTTTTCTCACTGTGTATTATTTCCCTCTCTTTATTTATTGTTGCATTTTTGCATGTGAACGGTGCTTTCGATTAGCTTTTGTAACCCAAAACTGTGCTTCACTGTACTGAACGAGAAAAAAATAGCCCAGAATGCGAATGCGGTGACATCACAGCTAAATAGTATTCACCATATATTGTAGTCTGGGTATTATAATACCCACCCACTTGTTTCGCACTCGAATTGCCATCATCGATGGATCGCGGCTGTTAAATAAATTAAAGCTCGATTTGCATAAATTTGTAATCGAATCGAGGTGACAAAGCGTGTAATTTATGCAGCACAATCGATAACAGAGGAGCTCCCTCGGTGAAGACACCAAATCCCATTGTTGTCTTCGGTTAAAAAAAGAATGAATAAATAAATGCAAAAAAAATATGACAATGAAATTGTTTAACTGCAACTGCAACGGCATTTGCATCTGCATGTGCATCTGAATTTCAAGGCACCGCCGTTCCCATAATGATGTTCATTAATTTTTTGGCATCCGAAAGAAAAGTCATTTGGCATCGTCATCGTTGGACGAAAACCAGAAAAAAAATATGTATCGTCATTGACATTGTCTTCCCACAAAAGGGGTCGAAAGCAAATTGGCCAAAAGTGACATGTCTTGGGATCTTCCAGTATCTCAGCGATCCGCTCTATCAAAACTGTTATCTGCATGTCCCGAAAAAAAATCATAGAAAATTAATCTACACGGAAAACACATTTAAAAAATATCAGATTGATATGTGCTGGTCAATTTCATGTCAAAAATCAAGTCATTCATATCATTTTGATATGAATAAAAATTATATTTATCCTATTTTACATTATTTGTTGAAAAAATTCTACATTTCGTATTTTATATGATATGATAGAATATCAAGTTGATATGCTTGAATCATACATTTAAGATAAATAAGGTAGAATTTACTCTATTTCATATCGATTTTTTGTTCTGTGTATGGAATAACTCACAAGAAGACCTTAAGTTCCATTCTTCTCCAAACAACATTCATTATCTCGAGACTTTTACCTGCGTCAATTCCCGATAATGGGAATTCTTATAAATTGATTTCGGGCCATTTGGCACGTGAATTTGGATGATGTTATTGCTGACACAATTTTCGAATTGGCTAAACATTTTTTCATGCTCCATTCAACCTATTGTGCGTTCAATAAACTAAACTATCGCCATTGTGGCTGCATTTGCAATCCGTTGAATATATAAGTTGTTTACATTATTTCTTGGTTTCTGTTGCGTGGCACTAGTCTCATCCATTATACGGCGGCATTTTTGGGTCAACGGGTGAAACGGGCAACCTTGGATCGATCCTAGAGAACCGGGAAGGTCAAAAGGCCCACGATCTTCGATCTTCGATTGACGAGAAGATGCCAAGTTCAAAGTCGAGCCAACAAGGAAGTGTGAAGTTAACCACCGTACCAATATGCCACTAAACAAATAATACTCAAACCAAAAAAAACAAAGGTAAATATCGGGCGCAGCTGTTAAAGACGGTTGAAATTCGAGACTCAAAGTGAAGCTTCCATCCTCGCCGCCGGCAATTCACTTGCCCCATTGATCACTCAATGTTTAATCATCTTTCTGGTCATTGTTTTTGATCAATTATTTCAGTTAGCCCAATCCCGACTGGCATTGGCCCAAATTGAAATACCTATTTTGAGTTATAAATTCGATTTGTCAGGGCCTAGAATAAAAAAAAAAAAACACCCAAAAAACGGGGGAAAACCAGATTCGATTTCCATTACCGAAATAGAGTCGGCTTGAATATTTAATTTAAATGATGTTTGTAAAAAACCGATTATGGCCGCCGCCCCATTAAACGCACATATGAGGAAGTTGCAGCCACTGGCACGCTTCCCCCAACCATATAAGTTAATACTCCCCACTTTTTTTACCCCTTTCTCTTCCGCTCTTTCTCAAGCCCCCTCCCATAGTAACACACACAGTGCTATTAAGAATGCTTTATCGAAGCTTATCAACCAAAAGATACCCCTTAATATAAGTAGCTTCCCATATTTGATGTCTCTAGGAGAAATAGATCCTGAGATAAAGCGATTTCAGAAATGTTTAATAATAATATAGTGAAATATAAGCTGGTATCCCAAATTTCATGTATCTAGCTGGAATGGATCCTGAGATATGGAGGCCTAAACCTGTTGTATAATAATACTCGTTAAGACGACTACTTGCATCTCATTCTACATTTAATGTCTCTAGGAGAAATAGATCTTGAGATCAAGCGATTTTAGAAAAGTATAATAATAATATAGTGAAATGTAAACTTGCATCCCAAATTTCATATCTCAAGCTTAAAAAGATCCTGAGATATGAAGGCCCAAACCTGTTGTATAATAATATACCTTTGCTCTCGCTGTTTACAGGTAATAAACACAGCCACAGTAGCTATGGCCGTAAGATCCGCAGCTGATTCAGAGTCTGTTGATTCTACTTACTTAACGTATGGCCTCTATGCCCGGCCAGTCATAAACTGGTTTAACGACTTAAAGTTCTGTAGACAAACGGGGAGAAAGAGAGAGGCTTGAGCGGAGGAAAGAGAGGGCTTAGATATAGTCAGGTAGGCACACTAGAGTCCGGCGAAACAACAAAAATGTTAATCAGCCAATTGAGGCTGCACTTGGACTTGACAGCCCGAATCCGAACTGCACTTGGTATATGTTTAAATATAAACATGGGCAGAGTGACTCATCCATGTCGTAGGATTCCTATTCGCACCCAACTTCCGATTAGATAAAGTCACAACTGATAAAAATACAAAATAATATACAATATAGAAAAAGAAAGAGGTAAACAAAAGACAAGGGGGAAATTAGTACACAGAAAAAAATGACAAAAGATCAGATTGACATGTGCTGATCAAGATACAGGTTATAAATATCATTTTGATATCATATTTTACATTTGGTATTTTTATACAGTATTTTTATAACTTTTATGAAATGATTAAATATCATGTTGATATGTTATAAGGTAGAAATGACACTTTCATATCGAATTTTGTTTCAGTGTAGTTGGGTGGATGGAGAGGGGCAGCAGTATCAGAATCAGTGCATGGCAGCTGGCAAAGTGTAAATGATTTAATATACAGCCAGCAATTGCCAATCCAGTTAAGAAAGGCATTAAGAAAAAAATTAAAACAAAAAACAGTAAGCTGCTCGCTAGCTGTAAAGAAAATAATAACAAAATGCCGAGCGGAGAGATAAAATCGCCATTACTATTAATATGGGGTCTAGCGATTATTGTTTCGAGGCTTTTTCTATGGGGTTAACTCGCTCTATCATAGATCACTTAACACCAAAGTGCGGCCAACTACAGTGGATAGCGGTAAATAGATAGTACGATAAAAAAAAGTGGATCAGGCTTTAATTGGGGTACTTGAAATATAGGTATTATAATCTTTGGCAATCCCTAAGTACGTACAAAATATTCTAGGGCTAGCAATCAGAAACATTAGCTATTAGTCATGTGTAGGGAATTTCATAATAAGGGTAAACGATATCGAAGGCATTTTATTTTTGACATTTCCGGTACTTTAGAATGCTGATTGGAAAAAATTTGGAAATTTTTTGAATACAAATTCAAAAAAATATTAAAGATAAGCATATTTCTAATAATAAATGATTATTAACTGGATGTAATTCAATAAACATTTCAATGAAGTTATAAGCTAAATATTACAAATTGATTATAGGTAATTAATTAAGGATGAGTTAACTTAAATGCATAAAAAACCCATAAAAACGGCAATTATCTTGGCCATTTGAATCGGGAAATGTTTGTTAAAACGAACAGTTAGTACAGGTGCAATTTGCAGGGGGTACTACCAATTAAGCCCAATTACCGTTAGCCGTGCCTCACTGTAGTTTCGTTTGTTTTGGGCTTCTAATTGGCAATTGGCAACTCGGGGGCTTTTTGGCCATGCTCGACTAACTAAGTGAGCCTCGTTTAACGGTCTTTTATTTATTTAGTTATTGCAGCTGCTCACGGCTCACTGAAAGAAAAACAGTGGTTAAATTGCTTGCCAAAGATCCCTTTTGTCCAACACACACATGGATACAAAAGGACCTGCACTCTTTGTTGTTGTCGACTTTTGCTTTATTTTATTGATTTTTAGCCAAGAAAAACAGAGACAGGTTCAAAACACACACACACACATACTGATATACACCCACACGCAGGAAAACACACCCTTGCTGTGTATGTGTATGTGTATCCCTGAACTACCAAAAAGGAAAATAAATCCAGCTAATTAAGTAAGAGAGCCTTAAGTTTAAAACAAACCTTTTTGGGACTTGGTTATAAATTTATTTTGTATTCAATTTTTTTTAGTTGGTAACAGAATTCGTATATTTTTTTTTTGTTAATTTGGGCGCGCGCCACAAGAACAACACCAAAACAAGAACAACAAAGTTAGCCGCTCACGAAGCACACACAGCACATACACGTTAAAAAAAAGAATGAAGATCGCGCGAGAAACCCGCTTTTCCTCTTGAAATTCACGAACGTTATGTTTGCAACCGTCGGCGGGCCGTTCAAATATGTCCGGAAAATCCCCCCAACAAAGTGGGGGACTTTGGTAAATATACCGAAAAAATACCAAATAAAAATAACTATGCTTTTAAGTCACCAATTACAAGTTAAACAAAATAAGAATGGGATACATTTAAAAGAATTCAACTTTAAAGTATAGAAATAAAGCAGGTTATTAATTTTTTTGTTTTCTGTTTTAATACGGGTATTTACCAACACTGAAACGGTATATTTCGGTATTTACCGTCAAGCCGCCTCTGGTGTTTTTCATAGTTTGCGGCGCGGTCACACTGTTGTGCACATTTTTTGTTTGTTCGCGTTGCATTTGTTTGCACTTTTTTTTGGAAATAAGAGAGGTAAGCCCAATAAGTTCTGTGAACTTGACGAGCCGTGGAGTTCTACCGACTTGTTACATACCCATCATTCGGTTGGCCATCGTTACAGTGCGTGTTCCGTTTTGTGTTTTGCGTCTTTGTGGCACCCAGCAGCAGCAACAACAACAACAGCAACAGGAGCGAGAGAGCGAGGAGAGCAGAGTTGCCTGGAATTTCGTGATTTTACATTTGTTTTACCGTTTCGCATTGCATGGCATCCGCCATTATTCGCAAAGATGGCGATCTTTTTCGGGGTCTATATCCCAACCTCGAAGGCGGGCTCCATTGAGGGCCTGGCGTCCCACTGTGCTGGCTCCATAGCGGCGGTCAACAATCCTCCGGCGTCGTCGTCATCCGGATCTTCATCATCATCGCCGCCCGGTTCCGCGGAGGACAGCAATGCCGCCAAATACGAGGATCCCGACTATCCACGTAAGTAGAAGCGAGATGGAGAGAGTGTGTGTGCTAGTGTGTGTGTGTTGCGTTCCAGTTATTTGCCGCTTGTTGCTGTTGTGATACCCTGTAATCGCTGGGTAACTGGGTTTTCCAGGTCAGTTTGAAGTTCAAAATACCCTGCTTTATTTTTAGCATGGATTATAAACCATGGAGAATGAAATATAAAAAACAGTGATTTTATATTTACTAAAACTATGTACTTTTAAAATATTTACAGTTTCGGAATTTGGAATAGTTTTTTTTTGTTGGAAAGTCCATTTTTGTAAAATGCAGCTAAAGAACATTTTATACCTTTCTCAGTTAAAGTTCCTCAACCCACTAGCAACTTGAGCTCTCCAAGAGTTTAATCACCCTTCCATCTGGAATTTAGGGGTTTATTTCATCAGGGGATGCAATTTGCGGCTTATTTGACAGGAATATTCTTGATTAAATTCTTGGGTTCATTGTGCGCATTTTGTTTCTTGTCAATAACAAATTGGATTTTATTAGGTAAAAATCCCTTCTAAGCACTAAATATTATTAAAACACAGAAAGAAATTAAATCTATTATCCAGGGTATTCCCACTTCGGGATTCCCATATTATTTTGTTTTTGTTATTCCGCTCCATGACTAACTGCCCATGAAGAAGTGTCCATGTGTGTGTTTAAAACTTCTGAGAATTGAGTAAAAATAAAAAAAAATAAAATTAATCGGGGCTTGCGCAGCCATCTTGCTCGCACAGTCGATTTCCTTGTCTGGGAGCGGTCTTTCGATTTAATTATAAACAAATGGTGAACAATTGCAATTACCTGCTTAATTAGATGCAACTGTCCCGCTCTCGCTCGCTCACAGTCCCTCCTTCTCTCTTTAATCCAATTAAATGCGATTCGAAAACAATAACCGATTGGGGCGAGTTCATTCCACTTCCACATCCAATTCCCATTCCCATTCCAGGCAATGCCCAAAATGAATGCATTACTAGGACCTTGACCTGTCAGTTCATTCTTCCAGCAGTCGCACAGCTGCGGTCAAAATAGTAGATTCATATTTCAAAACAGTCTTCAAAACTTGTTTAATCCTAAAGATAATGTATACATTGGAATTGCTTTCAAAAACATCTATTCATCTAGTCTGGAAAAATAATAAAATCATTGTGTTTCTATATTTCTTTTTATTATATCCGTACTAAAATAGTAAAAACTATTAATACGAACGCAGCTTTATATCAGCCAGTACCCACCAAATTCTCCTCCTTTTTTAAAATTTTTTAGTGATATTTATACTGCAAGCTGCGAAGCAAGTACCCCAAAAAAGTGAGTGCGTGTACTTTTAGCGTCCCCGGGTCCAATATTTATATACCCCCAGCTTTGCCGGTTTGTGTTGTTGTGGGTAGTGTCTGTCCCTGTTTCCTGCCCCAGTCCCTTTCCCTTGTCCCTGTCCCTGTCCCTGTCTTTTGGCCCAAGTCAACAGTCTTTGTTAAAAAAAAAAAAGAAAACAAACGCGCAAAAAGAGAGCTACGAATCGGAAAGTCAATTCAAGTCGACTTATAGAATACCCTAAAGCAAACAAAATTAAAAAATAAGAATAGAAATACTTATTGCGATTGATTTAACACTCGAGTACCAGACAAACTGTTGTACCTATTTGTAAAACATCAAAAACGTACCTAAATGTAAAAACCTAGTTAACAGTGGTATTCAAAATGTACCTAGAATTTATTTATTAAACCATACCCCGTAAATAAAACCAAAGTTATCTCTGTTTACCCCATAAAATATAATTCCCCCAATTAGTGTCGAATTAATCTAATAGAAATTGTTTTATGCCCCACTATTTGAACTTTCATACGTACAATCTGTTAGTTCCACATGCTATATGTACCTGTATGTTTAGCTTTTATCAGATCATTGATTAGAACTACCATACCCCCAAGGCTGTGATGTTTTTGCCTCTAGTTTTATTTCTGTTTTTGTTTTGCTCGCACATTGCGAAGAGTTGAAAGTAAATTTAATTATGGCATACCCGCTAATTTCGAGAGGTAATGTTGAGAGGAAATATATGAACTGCCGCCTGTACACCCCAGCTGCGATCTAAATTTATCTGGCTTTTGTTTTTTATAAATTCAACAAGTGAAATGGGATAGTTTAGCAGTCAAAAGTGATCAAACGGTTTTAAAGGTGTTGTGCTAATGAAAAGTAAAATATGTAGGTACTCGAAATAAAATTATACAAATATTAAACTCATGGAATCATTTATAAAATATTTTTTTTTTATTTAAAATTTTACCTTATTTTGTTGTTGAGATTCAAACGTTTTTTTGTGTTTTATTTCTTTTAAATTTATTACGTTCGTTGTTAAATTTATAAGAAATAGCACCAACTTATGCTGGTTATCTTTAAAATCAGCGGCAATCTGAGACCAAAACTGCTGATACTCTCGATAAGGCAGGGCCTCGGAAAATTTGCCGGCGTTGTGCCAACAGCTGCGTCACACGCATGTAAACACCACCCACCCACGTCCCACCACCCAACGATTTTGTTTTGCTCACCAAAATCCTCGACTCGTGCGGCATTCGCCCCTCGTTCTCGTTATTCACTTATTCACCATTCGCCCAACCGATGGCGTGACCAGAAAAAAGCCAGCTCATTTATTAATGGTTTATTCCTCTCATCGCATTTTGCAGCCGATTCGCCACTGTGGCTGATCTTCACCGAGAAATCCAAGGCGCTGGACGTCCTGCGGCACTACAAGGAGGCCCGCCTCCGCGAATTTCCCAATCTGGAGCAGGCCGAGAGCTACGTTCAGTTCGGTTTCGAGAGCATCGAGGCGCTCAAAAGATTCGGCAAGGCCAAATCCGAAAGCAGTGAGTATAGAGGAGCTATTTAATATTTGCTTAGCTATATATATTAAATACTTATTCTTTTTAGAGCCCATTCCTTTAAGCGGCGGCAGTGGCAGCGGCTATAAGAGCTCCACGGACAGTTCGTATTCCTCCTCGCCGACGGGTAGCGGCAGTTCCTCAATGGGCAGCCTACTGCAGCTCAGCAGCTCGCCCACTTCATCGCCAAGCAGCCTCAGCAGCAGCAGCATCATTGTTAATGGCCGCCAGCATGTTCAGCAGCCACAACAACAGCAGCAGCAGCAGCAGGAATTATCCGGCGAGCGTCCTCCCTTCTGGGCGCCCACCAAACAGGAGCTGGTCGAGTTTCGCAAGCAAATCGAAGCCGGCAATAGGGAACGGGTCAAGCGGATCATTTGGGACAATCCCAGATTTCTAATAAGCAGCGGCGACAAGCCCACCAGCTTGAAGGAGGGCTGTCGCTACAATGCCATGCACATTTGCGCCCAGCACAACAAGGCCAGCATTGCCAAGCTGCTCATAGCGACCATGTCGGATCGCGAGTTTGCCCAGCTGTATGTGGGCAAGAAGGGCAGCTCGAAGATGTGCTCGGAGCTCAATCAGAGTCTGGTCGACTATTACCTCAATATGCCGGATAAGGCGCGTGGCGAGACGCCGCTGCACTTTGCCGCCAAGATGGGACATGTGGCGATGGTCGAGCTGCTCATTATGTATCCGGAATGCAAGTCACTGAGGAATACGGAGGGCAAGGAGCCGAAGGAAGTGAGTTAAGCTCACTTGTTTATATGTAATATAATAATTTTAACTTCTCTTAACCGCAGATCATCTGCCTGCGTAATGGGCAAGCGAGTCCTGTGACTATCGCCAAGCTGCAGCTGCTCCTGCATGATCCGCACTTTGTGCCCGTCATGAGATCTTCATCCAATGTGCTGCCCCCGAAAGTGGGTCAACCGTTCTCGCCCAAAGATCCGCCGGTGAGTGTCTGTCTATTTTAGATATTAGCACAGATATTGCTGTAATTATTATTTTAGTTATTTAAGCTAGCTTGCTAAATATATCAGGGACCGAAAAAACTTGTTATTGTAAATTTTTCTTAGAAAAAAATCTTGCACTTAGAAGGGTCCTAAAATATTTATAAATACACCACTATATTTATTAGCCATTGTAGTTTACAAATCCGTAATGATTTTTATTTTTTGATTTTTATAATAAAACTCAAAAAATAACTATTATTTGTTAATTTTTATTTAATTTTTGAAAAAATGAAATAATTAAAAAAAAACGTGCTAACCGTGTTTTATAAAACTAAAAATTTGTTAAAAAAGCCAACCGCTCATGTTTTGTAACTATATTTTTTTAAAATTTATTTTGAGTTTTATTTTGATCACGACGAATGACTTTTATGTGTCAACTTTTATTATAAAACTCAATAAAATAACAGTTATTCTTTGAGTTTTACTTTACAAATCCAAAAATAACTGTAAAAGTGAGATTTTTAAAATAAAACTTATAACAGTTAAGGTCCCTGAAATATATAGATAGATAAATAAATAGATAGATAGGTATTAATTCTTACTCCTTGTAGAACCTGCAACACAAGACGGACGAGTGCGAGGGACTCAGCGTGGACCTGACGATCAGTGCGCTGGCGGGGCCCATGTCCCGCGAAAAGGCCATGAACTTCTACCGCCGCTGGAAGACACCGCCGAGGGTCAACAGCAATGTGATGTCGCCGCTGGCCAACTCCCCATTTAGCTCGCCTGTGAAGGTGACGCCGAGTAGCCACTCGAGTCCTGTCCACGCGGCGGGACGCAGGGTGCTCTTTAGTCCGCTGGCGACGGCCACCAGCTCACCGAAACGTTCCTCGCATCCAGTGACCAATGGAGGCAACGACGAGTGCAACAACAACAATGATAATGTCAAGCCAGCTGCTGCTGCTACTGCTGGGTATCCGCTGGAATTCCCGGCCACACCCATACGCCAAATGAGACCGGATCTTTTTATGGCCTATCGCAACACTAGCATCGGCTCGATGGCCGATGAATCAATAGTCCTGGACACGAGTATTAGCATGAATACGTCGCTGAACGATAGCTTCCGCGAGAGGCACATCAAGAACACGGATATCGAGAAGGGTCTGGAGGTGGTGGGACGTCAGTTGGCACGCCAGGAGCAGCTGGATTGGCGCGAATACTGGGACTTTCTCGACTCGTTCGTCGATATTTGTATGCCCGATGGACTGGATCGCCTGGAGGCATATTTTGTGGAGAAGTCCGAACAGCGGGCAGAGAAATTGGAGACGGTGTGGAATTTTTCCCATCTGCATCAGTATTTGGATTTGATGTCGGGCGATCAGCAGCTGCGCAAGGACAGAAGTGCCTCAGCTGCCGCAGCGGCATCATCTACGCCAACCGCCGGGGTCATGACCCCGTACACATGCGTCGAGAAATCACTGCAGGTGTTCGCCAAGCGCATCACCAAAACGATGATCAACAAAATCGGCAACATGGTGTCCATCAATGACACGCTGCTCTGCGAGCTCAAAAGACTGAAATCGCTGATTGTCAGCTTCAAGGACGATGTACGCTTCCTGAGCGTCGACTTTAGCAAGGTGCATTCGCGCATTGCCCATTTGGTGGCCAGCTATGTGACCCATTCGCAGGAGGTTAGCGTGGCGATGCGTCTGCAGTTGCTCCAAATGCTACGCTCGTTGCGCCAACTGCTGGGCGACGAGGGCGGCCGGGAGCAGCAGTTGGGCTGCGTATGCGGCAGCCTGCTTGTGATGCTGGAGCAAGCGCCAACCACCGCCGTCCACCTGCCCGATACGCTGAAGACCGAGGAGCTGTGCTCGGCCGCCTGGGAGACGGAGCAGGGATGCGCCTGCCTGTGGGACGCCAATCTCAGCCGGAAGACCAGTCGGCGCAAGCGCACCAAGTCGCTGCTGGCGGCAGCCGCCGCTAGGACTCAGGAGCTGCAGGATACAGCGGCGGCATCGGCATCCACTGGAACCACCGCTCCTCTGCACGTTTCGCTGAGTTTGGGTGCCAGCAGCTTTGGAGCGCCGAGGGCGGCAGTTGTGGCGCAACAAAGCGACGACGAAGACGAGGACAGCGACAATGATGTTCCATTTGTAAGTCTATTAGAGCCCTGCATGAATGGATTCAACGAAATATTTTGAATTTTTTGTTTTATAAGAATGAATTAGGGCCGGTTTCTCGAGTGCCGGCTAACGTTTCTCGAACAGATAAAGTCCCTGCTAAGGCATTTTGGCTTTCTCGAGCATAAATGTGAGAGCTAACTTTGACAGGGACTCGGAGTCCCTGTTAAGCGTTTTCGGCTCGATAGAATGACAGCTGATTTCCCAAAGCCAACTATGAAGAAGAAACGAAATCACAGTTGACTTTTCCTTTGAATTATACCCAAACAGCTGATGAAATAATCGAAGCATGCCATTTTTTGCACTTCACAGTGCGTTAACAGCACTCTGTAATTGTTTCTCGTTCAGATAAATTAAAGCAGTCGAGAAAGCGGATTTGCTTTTACGAACAGTTTATCTGGTCTTTAAGTTTTTCGAACAGATAGCTATCAGGGACTTTGACAGGGACTCGAGAAAGCGGCCCTTAATTAGAATTTTGAGTTTAACAGAATTGAATGAATGAAGGGCATGAATTCCGAAATAATTCAAAGGACTATTTCTTTTGAAGAAGAAAGGGCCATCATTTTGTGATTAAATCTGCCTGAATTTGATTTACTAAAACATTGATTTGTTAAAAATTTTCCACTTATTGTTCTCAAAAGAAAACACAAAAAAATCTAGCAAATTCATAAAAATTATTCATTCATTCATTCAATTCGAAATGAATTAGAAAAACATTAAATTTATTTCACATAGAATTAAATTAAACAAATCAGACATTGATGGCATACTATGATAAAACAAAAATTGAATGATTCAGTTATCTATGATTATCTATTAAATAATTTCCCTAATTGTTCGTTCTCTTGCAGTTTGATTGTTCTACGAAATATGGTAGCAGCAGCGAGGATGAGGAGAACTTCCGTACGCCACCGGAGAGCATGTCGCCACGCATGTCCGTGGATCTGGAGCCGCGCTACGATTTGTTCATATTCGGGTGCGATTTTTTTACTGGATTTTTACTTCTACATAGTCCATAGCTAACTCTACTCCACTACTTGCAGAAACGAGCCAACCAAGCGGGATTTGGATGTGCTGAATGCCCTTTCCAATGTGGACGTTGACAAGGAGACACTGCCGCATGTCCATGCCTGGAAGACTGCCATGGAGAGCTTCTCCAGAGCTGAAATGAATCTGTGAGTGTGGGGCACCGATAATTAATAACTTGACTTTATACTTTGATGTCATATATTGTAGGACATTGAAAGGCTTGTATTGTATTTGCATTTGCTTTTGAATATCATTTATTATTATGATCTTTTGTAGACCTTTATTTATTTCATAGCCCATTACTTTATCTCTTTTTATTTTAGTTAAAAAATTTCTATCATTTTTTATTTAAATAGCATTTATTATTATTATGCTTTTTGTAGATTACTTAATTTTTTTTCTGTGCAATAATTCATTTTATTTTTATTATTTGTTGTGGAATTACCTTAACCATTTAATTTCTTTTTATTTTAAATTAAAATTTTTTACCATTTGGTATTTAAAAACCGTTTATTATTATGCTTTTTGTAGATTACTTTATTTTTTGTGTGTAATAATTCATTTTATTTTTTTATTGATTTTATTTGTTGTGGAACTAACTAAACCATTTATTTTAATAATTTGTCTGTCATTTCCTCAACAGCTTTCCATCGCCGAAGAACGTGAAGGTACAAAAGCCGGACCCCTGGTCACCGGGAACAAGTGCTAGCCACAACAGCCAGCCATCGCTGCATTCCAAGCGGCTCCTGGCGGCACCCAAACTGAATGCTGTGGCCGCCGTCGTAGCCGGAAGACGTGGCTCCGGCCCAGGACCGTCGACGCCGCCAATGCTGCCTCGCCTGCCGCGCACTCCGTCTGCCGCCAGTATTCAAGTTGTTCACCCAACGATCGCCGTGAATGGCGGCGGGTCCGTGGAAGCAGCTTCCCCTGCTGCTCCCCCGGCGGCGGCGACGCGCCCGTGGATATTTAAGACGCCACTGAACAAGGTTCGCGGATTGTTCAGCCAATATCGCGAGGTGGCCGTTGAGGATGAGCACACGCCGATCGGCGGTAGAATCGCCAATTGAAACCACAACCATTTTTTTTTTATAACATAAAAGCAGTGAAATAAAAGAATGAAATTAACATTTTGAATTATAAGCATAATTTAATGAATAATAAAGAATAATTTAATGTTTTTTTATGGAAATCCGTGTCTGGCATGGACTATTAATTTTAGCTTCTCACTTTAATTTTAACTTTTAATTGTTTTTAATTACCATAGAAATGTAGAAACTTTTTAATCTTTATTTTACTTGTAATTGTAATTTCCTTTTATTTTATTCTGCTACGAGTGCCAATTTATGTAATATCCTTTTATTTTATTCTGCTGCGAGTGCAAATTTATTTTGGAGTGAGGCTATATGTAACTGCGACTGCGACTAAAAGCGAAATTACCGCAACAAACTGTGGCAGAGGAGCTACGTAGAAAGCCATAAAAGCAATTACCATTAATCACATAAAAGGACGGACATAGTGGAATGGACACCTGGACGCAGGGTGGTGAGATCGGGGCATTCAAGGAACATTCTTCGCCACCGATCGATCTTGGTGCTCTGCTCCTCGATGCAATGCAAAACGAGAAACTGAAACCGCTCGTCGCAGGAGAAAAAAAAGGTAACATAAAAAGAATTTAAAAGAAAGGAAAGCAAAAAAAAAAAAGGAAAAAGGGTTTATCGAAGCCAGTATACCCATAGATTTTACTCCAGCTCATGGGGATCCCCTTCCTCGTTTACTCTCAATTTCTTATTTATGAGAATGCCCCCGACGATGGCAGCGCTGATTCTTGGCGTTCAGCGATCTTGGATTACATTGGGTATACCCGACATTCAACAGGTGTTGGTTGTCTGTCTATATACAAACTTGGGACTGATTATTTTATCCTTATCCTTTTATCCTTTAAATATAAATATTTCTAGATTTGCCCATTTAATTTATTGAGAATTTAAATGATCAAATTTCTGAAGGAAAAAATCATAGCCATTATCGGTAAACAATATATTCGAAATATATTTTTTAATTCCTTAAGCCTGTTATTAAAAATAAATATTTCTATATTTCCTCATTTAATTTATTTATAATTTAAATTATCATTTCTTAAGGACAAATTCATAGCCATTATCAGTAAACAATATATTTTAAATTAATTTTTTAATTCCCTAAACTTTTTAGCAATCCAACAGGGTATAATTGTATCGTAACCTTTCCTCCACTTTGGTATCTTTTCATTTTCTGCTCCTCTTCTTTTGTCAACTGGAGCAGAAGGGGTTGGGGCAGAGGCGGGGGGTCTAAAGGGTCCAGAGAAGGGGCGAACAAATTTGTTGCAATTGCCGTTTCGCTCAGTGGTCGGGCAACTTTTCAATGGCAGGCCTTTGACAAATGATCGCTGATAAGAAGCCGAATCGAGGGAGAACGCTAAAAGCGAAACAAATTGAGAGGCTATAAGGCGGGATTTTGGTAGGGGGGCTTTCAGTTTTGGCCCATAAGTGGGTCGCAATGCAGGCCTAGTATCAAAGATTATACAATAAAAAGAAATATTAAGTATAGCACATTTTAGTGAGAAAACTGAAATTCCAATATATATATTAATTATATAATATTATATTATATAGTTTAGTATTATTTGTATAGTTCCCCCCTTTTTTTACTTTTCTTTTACCGCAGGTGCTGCCTGAGATCCTTGGGGTTGGCTAATTTATGCTAGGGTCCGTTAGGATTTTCTCTAACCCCACATGGACACCTCGAGTTTAATTTAAATTCTAAAATCAATAGCCATGAAAATTGTTTTATTTTTGCTTGATATATCCAACAGTTTCCTTAATCCACAAATATATATCCCAAAATAAAATATGCAAAACCTTGCGTACGTAGGGTTAATGCGGGGTAAAAGGAACTCCATTCGACTGGCGCCAGTGGCTTCGATTATCTGACCACCGCCATCAGGGTCAACTCATTCCAGCAGTTCTTTTGTTTGCCCAAAAAACCCCAAAGTCCCGAAAATCCAAAACCTCTTTGTGAAACTTGAGAACACTCAACGATTAAGGAAAAAAAAGAAAAAATTAAAATAAATAAATAAAAAAGGGAAAGAGAGGGCGAAAGAGCGAACAAAGAGAGTCTGGGCCGTGTCAGAAGTTCACACAAAACTTGTGAAGTTTCTCCGATCCTTGGAGTGAAGTGGCTTATCCCAATCCCCATCCACATATAGGAATATGCGATTTTTTGCAAGGAATGCAAGGCGGCGCCGGAAGCTGTTCAGACAGGCTCGACCAATTAGCCAGCCATTTATCCATTTAACCATTTAACCAGCTGCATTCGGTAGCATTCGGACTAACCCACAATTGCGCAGGACTTTTACTTTAATCCTTGACCTTAATCTATTCGGTTTCGGGGGGTTACGTAAAGTTGGTAAGGACTGTACATTTTTTTAGAACAGAATTGTATTTTCATTTTAAATTTATATTTGGATTATATCGCAATTAAAGTTTAAAGTATTATAATTGTTAAAAAATATTTATCTAAATAAAATCTTTTTAAAACCTTGCCTCACTTAACTACATTTCTTTTAGAATTTTAAAAATGCTTCTTGTAAAGGTTTCAATTTTGCAATATTTAATTTAAAAACATTTTATTAATATTTTGTACTCATTACGATGTCAGTATGTCAGGGTTCACATACGGTAGATCTAGATAGACCATGTTAACTGCCCCGATTCGAGGGAACAGAACAATCAGAGGCATGCGAACGGGCATTACATAAACAATGAAAGGCTTTTAGGACCCGCCAAATAAATGGAACCGCACGCAGGTCGACTAATGAGCATCGATTTCGAGTTTTCGGGCAATGCATATTCAGGATTCAAGGATTCAGTCTAAATGTTGACTTCGAATCGGACGCCAGGGCATCGATTTTAGTACATAGGTTCAATTCGATTTCAAGGGCCCCGAGGGCGAGCGATGTTCCTGAAACGGAAATGCCGCAAGAGAAACGCCATCCGCCGGAGTCGCGGAGGCAACGTGGCCTCCAGACATTGGTCATCTTTCGGCGCAGCCTCATCTATCAGACAAAGGAGTTCTTCCAGAACTCGACGCTCCACGGAGTGCGTTATATCGCCGAAACGGGCCGCCCCATTGGCGAGAAATTCATGTGGTTCTGTTTCACATCGATCGGTGCCGTCACAGCGCTAGTCATCATCATGAGCCTCTGGGAGAAGTTCCAGACCAATCCGACCATCACGGGCCTGGACACGGACTTTCACAACCAGAACGTGGTCTTTCCCACCACCGTCGTCTGTCCGGAGGCAGCCTTTGACCATGACAAGACCTATGAGAAGGTCTACAATACACTGGCGTGAGTAACTTAGCCTTAACTTTAACATAAATGTAAACGCGAATTCTTTAGATTCTGTTTTAATATGATCTCTTCTTAAAGCAGTTCATATTATATTTTCCTGAACGTTTTCTTATCAGTCTTAAGCCTCATTTTTTATTATTTTATAAATATTTTATTTTTTATAATATATTACTATTTTTTCTTTAACATAAATGTAAACGCGAATTCTTAAGATTCTCTTCTGTAACCCGTTCCAATAATATTTTATATTATCTTTGAATAATAATGATTTACTTAATAGTCTTAAGGCTCAATATTTATTATTTTACAAATATATATTACTATTTTCTGTTTAACCCCATCAAGGAACTACGACGAGGCCCAGGCTCAAATGTATACCCCATTCCTGCGACTGCTGACCTCCTTGAACTTCGAGAGCATCCGGGATGCCAAGGTGCTGTCCCAGTCGATTCCGCAGAATCTGCTCGATGCGAGCACTATCCGGGAATGGGCCTTCGAGGGACATATCAGCTGCGAGAGCACCTTCGTGTCCTGCAAGTATCGCGACGAGGAGATACCCTGTTGCGACCACTTCGAGCCCATTTACACAGAGCACGGCTTTTGCTACGCCTTCAACAGTCGCTTCAAGTCCACGCCCACCGAAGAGTGAGTTTCTAGATCTGAGTTGGTCTGTTCCGATCTGATTTGGGGTTTTTCTATTATTGCAGTGTCAAGACCGGGGCACCTCATGATCTCTACGAAACCGACAAGAAGTGGGCGCTCTTCTTTGTGCCCAATAGCACTGCTAGTGTAAGTTGTTGTTTACAAATTACATAAAATACTTAACCAATGTACCCGCGAATTCTTTCATATGATTTAAGAAAATTAAAAAAACAAAAGCCAATTTAATACACATATTTACTTTTATGCAACCGCGAATTCTTAAGCATCATTACAACCCACTTTGACCTCAATGTAAGCGCGAATTCTTCAGCTTCATGTGATTCCCAGAAATTCTTAACTAAAGCCAATTTGATACAAATATTCTTTAGAACAGTGTGAACGCGAATTCTTAAGCATCATTACGAGCCACTTTGACCTTAATGTAAGCGCGAATTCTTGAGCTTCATGTAACCGCGAGTTCTTCAGCTCTTCTCTTACCAATTCTAGTAATATTTTTTATTCTAATGCCTAATCATCGAATAGATCTTTATATTCTCAAACGAGGAGTACTTCGGTTCGGATTTCAATGCCCAGATCGATTGGTCGGAGCCGCAGCTGGTGGAGGTGAGGATCTCGAAGAAGAATACCTACACCACGGACGATGCCCGCCAGCTGTCCATTGGGCAGAGGAAGTGCATCTTTAGCGACGAGGTGAAGCTCAACTATTTCCCGGATGCGTACACCTTCTCCTCCTGCATGAAGCAGTGTCGCATGAACAAGGCCATCAAGCTCTGCAAGTGCAATCCGCCCTTCTACAAGCCCATTGGTGTTATATACTTGATAATTCGAATTATATGTTGTTAATCCTTGATTTTCGCAGCAAATGTGCCCATGTGCACGGTCAAAGATTTCGATTGTCTCGATGAGTTCAAGACGAACATCACGAATATCAAGGACTGCCTGCAATGCGAGCTCAGCTGCTCGAAGACGGTCTTCAATATTGATAAGCTCTTAAAAATGTGAGAATATTTGAATATTTTTGTATCTATTTTTGATTAGTAAACGTAATTTATTTTGTTCTACAGAGTAGATCGACCAGAAGCCGCAGGTGTGCTGGTGGAGTTCCTCACCTGGCCGATTATTCGCTATAAGCGTGAGGTCCTTTTCGGATGGGTGGATCTGCTGGTGTCCTTTGGCGGAATCGCGAGTCTTTTTCTCGGATTCTCACTGCTTTCGGGCGTGGAGATTATATATTATTTTACTTTGCGCGCCTGCTGTATGGTCTATAAAAATCGGGTGAGTTCCAGTACCTTTCTTTTATTTCAAAGTACCATCAGAGGTTATTCCAAGTTTTTTTTAATACATATAGCAAGAGCTATATGAGATCGAGGAGCAAATCCGTCGGGAGCCACCGCCCAAAATAGACTTGAAATTGACTTTAAAATCGCACTCAAAGCCAAAGGTTGGGGACTTGCCCCATTCGGCGGTGCTGAAGGTAAAACCAGCGGAGGAAAGCGCGGAAAAACCAAATCCTTTGGGGGGCTATCAGAGGAAGGTTCGTCCATTTAAATACCTAATTGCGATAGACTAAAATAGAAACAAATTTCAGGACTATTCAATCCAGACAAAGAACTATTATAAAACACCTAAAGTCTTGCCCGACTATGGATATACAAGTAATACGAAAAATCCTTGGACAACTTACGATCACTCGCAATATATGCCCTAATAAAAATTGTTTTTTTTAATAAAAACTAAATTATTAACTTACCAAAAAAAAATACTGCGGCAAATGCAATAACTCTGCTTTAAAACTGGATATTTTAAACAAGAAATGCTTAAGGATACAAATAATCAAAATAAATTCTTTGAGTGCAATATTAAATCGATTAAACAACAAGTAAAATATTCTATGAGAACTAAACAACAAGCAACCGATATATTAATATCCAAAAAGTTAAAAAAATAAATTAAACATACAGCTGTGTTTTAAATAATGTTGGTAATATTACTTTTATTATTATTAAAACTATTATAAAGAACATTATCTTGATAATAGCATTGAATGTTTTAAATTGATTTTTTAACTGATAAAATTGATTTTTTAATTGATAAATACATTTTTGTTTTATTTTGAAATGTTCTCCATATCTTTCATATATACATACGAATATATATATTTTTTAATATTCCATAATTTAATAGCAATATTAATTTGAACACAGCTGTGCATAAAAGTATCTACAAATAACATTTTAGCCCGCGAGGAACATAATCAGCTTCCCATGCACCAGCCGCTGCGAAAAGTGAGCACTTGTATCTTGTAGTTTACTTATTTTTTTCCAATCTATATATATATATATATATTATGTAGCACCCACATATATGTATATGTGCACCAGCAATAAAGAAATATATCCGCTAGTGAAATACTTTCGACTGCCGCTGGAATGTTTCGATGGATTTTGCTCCCAATTAAACTTCAGTTCTGTGTTGCATACTTAGCGGCTCCCCGGGTTCACTGCACCATGGTGGTTAAAAGGGGGGGAGTTGGGTGGTAAACTAACCGCTGAACCATCCACCCAGCTACATCTGTGGCTCCCAACCCGAAACCCAAACCCAAACCCAAATACCCATGGCATTCAGCCACAGCTCAGCAAAGGCGAAAAGCATTTTTCAGTTAACATCGTTGCTGGCTCATTGTTAATTCCGCCTAGTGTTGCCTCGCTATTAGTGCTAAAATAGCTATCCTCCTTTAATTTATATTCTTATTGATTGGTATAATCAAAAAAATTTTTTGGTTGCATACTTTTTAAATGTCACATTTCCTAGGACTTTTTACTTTTCTACTTTTACCTATTTTGGATTTATCAAGGGTTCTATCAGTTGTGGGGGGATTTCAGAAAAACTTTTTTTGTGTTGCATACTTTTTGAATATCACATTTCTTTGCACTTTTTATCCGAGTGTAGGGGACTTATCCCTTAATTCAAAACTACTTAAATGACACTATTAAATTTGTTGTGCATTAATTATAAAATAAAAATGAAATATTTTACCGCTTTTTTAAATAACATTTTACATTTTAAATAATTATTATATCACTATGAATATCAATATTAATTGATAATTGTAATTGGGTTTTTACTTTAAAAAACCGATGTTTATTTTATATTTATTCCTAACTAGCTATAATTACAGCACTGATAGGGACTAGAAAGAGAGAGGGAGTGTGGAAGGGAGACGGGAGGCACGACAGACTCCCATAACGGCCAACAGGTGGAGCCAGGGTGGTCGTAGTCGTAGTTGTAATTGCAGTTGTAAGCCGCGTAGTACGCAGCAAAGTCTGCTTTTCCGCTTTTCCTCTTTTCCCTTTTTTTCCGAGGAATGGGGCTTTCAACTGGGCGTGTGTTTTGCCAGCCTCGCTTTCAATTTGCACGATTTCCCCCGTACCATTTGCATATTTCTGTGAATGAATCCGCCGCATAGTTTGTATTTTTTGTGCAAAAGGGAGGTTTATGTGGCCAGGATTAAGATGCAGCGATCGCTCTATGACCCCGTCGTCAAGGATTAAAAACCAGCGCAGAATTTAAAGGGATATAAATAAACAATGAAAACATAAATAAAAAGAAGTCGGCACGAGTGAGCCAAAGAAAACCAAAAAACAATTAGGGCCTGTTAACTGTTAAACGGGCTTGTTGACAATGCACACACACGCCCACAAATAAATAAGCCAACATACATGGATGCACGGAGAAAAATAATGCTCAGTTATAGTCAATTTCTTTCTTTATCTTACATTTTAAAAAAGTAAAAAGATATGTTTTTCGAAAAAGGTTAAGATTTTTAAAATTTATAGAAATTGTTTCTTCAATTAATTTATAAATTTGGAAACAATTGTTCCTTATTTAAATATTATTTTTGAAATTATTTCATTAAAATAAAATAACTTAATGAATTCCTTGTTTTGTTAAATATTTTTTGCAGTGCAATTGCATGTATAAATAAATTTAACAAAAGTTAATTGAAATAAGCAAGTTGAGAGCGTTGTTTGCATACTCCTAAAAAGAGAAAAATACATTTTCAAATCTTTTGCCTTTACTCTTGTCCCCCCTTTTTCGCCGAAAAAGCGTGCAAAAAGGGGAAACGAACAAACAAACAAACAAGCAAACACACACAAACTCTCTTCCGTATTCCGTTTTAGAGCTCTTGTGTGCTGGATTTTCGATTTGCATTTCTAAAAAGGCCCATAAAAGTGCTAAAACTAATGAAATCGCTTTGATTCCGTTGATGGCCATTGCCAGGCTCTTAAAAAAACGAATTAAACAATTAAGAAGTGGCCGAGAGAAAGGTGTGAGCACTTTTATTTGAAGGCTTTTCACATTTTTCGACGATGACTCGCTTTAGGTTTCCTGCATAAAGAACTTTGGTACTTAAAACTCAGCTACAGATAATAGGGAGAAAAAGTATTTACCCATGACGTATACGTAATATAATAGTAAATGTAATATTCCATTAGTGGGCACTTGTAATTCCCAATTAGTTCTAGCTAAATATTTCTTATCATTTTTATTATTATTACATTTTTATTAACTTTCTTAGCATGGGAATTTTAATTTATTATGCTTGAACAGTAAATAAAAAGCAGAGGAACAAAAGGAAGTTAAATACCTAAAAAAAACCACGAGGACAATGGCAATAGTTGAAATGTGGCTCGCGGATACGCAATGTGCCAGCGGCACCGGAACCGGAAGTTCTGTACAGTGTGTACTGGGTTAAAAACGAAAAAAAAAAACAACAAAAAATCCAAACACCCCACGAAACATGGCGGCAAACAAATGAGCAGACGGCGGTGGGCGTGGCGCCTTCTGACAGGCAGCTTAATTAAGATGGCCAGGATAATGCCGAAATTAAGACACAAAATGCTGCCGAGAAGGACGAGAAAAGTTTTGCAGCCGCCAAAGTTTTCCCAGCCAGACAGAAGAAAGACATATCAGACCAGATATTTTCTGGGATTTTTACGAGCCACTTCGATTGGTGAATGCCAGGACCACAAAGCATTCCATGAATTTATTGAATTAAATCCGTCGGGCACATTCTACACAAATGTCACCAATAAATTTTATGGTTTTCCAGGATAAGGGGAAAATACCGTCTTGTCTACTATGTTTTTTTTTAGTTCTTAACTCTTACTGGCTTTTATATATGTTTTTTTTTTGTGTTTATATTTTTTGTTATTCTACATTTTAATGATAAGAATCATTATCATTCATAAATAACTCAAAGTTAAACTCAGTTATAGGTGAAAACTATTCATTTAAAAAGTTGTTTTAATGTTAATTCAGTTTTATTGACTTTGTTCTTTTATTACTTAGGATTGGTAAAAAATATTATATTGTATAATATCAATTTTCTTATTAGTTTTCATATTTAGTCGATTTATTTTGGTATTTTATAGCTTGGGAATGGTAAATAATATTATATTCAAAAGTTCCTATTTTTCAGTTATTTTCCTATTTAGTTGATTTATTTTCGTATCTCTTTAAAACACTTTTGCATCTCTGGTGACGCCGACAGCCTGGCAAGTGCTTCTGTTTCCGTTGGTTCTTTGATTGCATTCGACTTTTGGCTGCAGTTCAGCCCCCCTTTTGTCCTTTGCACCCCCTTCCAACCTCCTTCCACCCACTCGAATATTGTTCTTTTGGCTTAAACCGAATAAGCTGGAAAGTTTTAGCCTGACAACGTAAACATAAAGTAAATGCAGTGCCAAAAACAAAAGTCAAGTCCACTCGAGTGTCCAACTGTTTTCCTTTTTTTCTTCTTATTTTTTTTGGGTGTGAGTGAGTATCTGTGTTACCAGAGTATCTGTGTATGTGTGTGTGTGTTGGCTTGTTGATGCGTGTGCATGTGATCTGCTGGCTGCGATTAGAAAATGATTTACACCTCTGGCTGGACTGCAAAAAGAGGAAAAGTTGGGGGAAAAGATGGGCATGGGCCTTACGACGTCTGCGAAACTGGTTAGAACTCTTCGTCCTCTTCTTCTTCTTGGCCAGCTTCAGCCCGCTCTTCTTCTTCCTCGCTGCATGCAATTACACATTTTATTATTATTAACGTTAATGTCGCCCCTGGGACGGCACTAACGCCCGGCTCCACATAAAAGGCGCTTATTAATAAGAAATTGCAATAAACTACAAGACACACAGCACAGCACACTGTTCAATCTGTTGTTACACTCGAAGAACTTTCAATATCAATCTATGGACTTTAAGTAACACTAGACTGCATAAGAATTATTCTGTTTTTATAATTTTTAAAAATTATTAAATAAATTAGACACCTTAAAAAACAAATATTATATTATTAGAAGATATAATATACAAGTTTAATTTATTCTCTAAAGTATTATTTTTTTTATGCAGAAAACCGAAACTTAAAATTATTTATACGTATTTATTATTACTATAATAATATTAATTTTCCTTTTAGTAACAAATATAATGTAAAAGCAAAAGAGATTCTTCTTTTTTATACAATTTTCTTAATTTGTAAAAAAGGTTGTCTTTGTTTATTCTTAACTACAACCTGATTTTTTTGTAGTTCTACTTCTTCGAAAACTACTATTTTTCAGTGTATTCAGGCACGATGGCGCTTAAAGGAGCAACAGCTGGTTCGCTAGTGAGAGGGCAGATGGTGGAAGAGGGACAGAGAGAAGGAACAGAGAAGAAGAGAGATCCTAGCCGGCAAAAACAAAAGCCACCAG